TTTATTTATTTATTGGCAGAACCGGAGATTGAACTCAGGCCCTTGTGCTTGCCAGGGAAGCGCTTATTCCACTGAGCCATCTCCCCGGCCCTCCTATGTGTACTTCTTAACAGCAACTGCTTTGCATCTTTGCTTTTACTTCTTTCTTATCTTCTTAGCAATACTTTTATTATCATATATTTGCAATATATAATGAATGCATTATTTGTGGGGAGTTCATATGTATAAAAATCACGTTATTTCTTTTTACTCCCTTTCCTCTCTCCTACCTCTGTCCATCCCTGAATCTCCTTCCTATCTGAAAAAGGTCTAACTACCTGCTGTCTATCATCTTTGATTTTTCTTTTTAAATTTTTATATCTTCAGTCTTTTGGGGGTTTTTTGTTGTTGTTTTGTTTTGTTTTGCGGAACCAAAGATTTAACTCAGGCCCTTGTGCTTGCCAGGGAAGCACTTATTCTATTGAGCCATCTCCCTGGCCCTTCAGTTTCTTATATAAGACTGACCATGTGATATTTAATTTAATGTGTTTTATCTTGCTTAGCATTATAATCTCTAAGAGCATCTATTTTCCTACAAATGACCCAAATCTATCCTTATTTATGGCTGACTAGTACTCAATTGTGTATGAATACCACATTTTCTATATCTATCCATCTGTGATAGACATAGAAACTGCTTCCAAGATTTAGCTATTAAGAGTTGTGCTGCTATAGTACGGCTACACCTGAGTCACTGTAATATGGTGTCCTTTGGGTGATACTGGGTCAAAAGGAATTTCCACTGTAAGTTGGGTTTTTTTTTAAAATCTCCATTCTGATTTCCTCAGTGGTCATACGAGTTTTTTGTTTGTTTGTTTTTGTTCTCAGTTAACCAAATAGTTCTATTATAATCACTTATAACATTTTTGGGGAGGTTACACAGTCCAGCTCACGACCTCGCACTTGTCCGGTAGGCACTATGCCATTGGGCCCCATTCCCAGCCTATAATATTTAAATAAATGATACCGGTTATGGGTCAACTCTGCATAGGAACCAGATCAGCCAGATAGAAATTTGAATAGAGCCTTTTATTTACTGAGCTCAGGTCCGTCAGCCACTTCTCTTGCAGGAGAAGGCTGATCCGCCCCGAACATAGGTAGCAAGGGGGTATTTATAACAGAAATCACATCCAGTTTGGTAAGCAAATGTGATATCTAGTACAGAACAACAGAAACTACATTTATTTGACACAGCTGTAAACTGTTTATAACTAAAAGGTCATTTACAGCTTAGTGATAGGTGTATATTTTTATAAGATATATCTTAAGCTGACTATGTTATAGGATTTGGTTGGGGAGGGAGTTTGTGTTAGCTTGTTGCCTTGACAAGAAACAGTTATTTATTGTTGAACAGCCTTGAGCCGAAAGGGAGAATACATTTTTTAGAGCAGATAACAGGAAGCACAAGGGGTTTTTATAATTTTTTACAGTTAAGGCATAAATCTCTGTTAACCCTTTACATTCCCCACTGGTTTCTATCTGGGAATCAAATCTTTGGTTTATCTAAACCTCATAACTTGAGTTGTCTAGGCGTGTGAGAGGCTCATTATTAGATCTCAACACCATTAACTTAATCGTCTGGATTTTTTGTTGTATATATGTAGTTAAACAGTTTATCATATAAGGTCCAATGAGCAGGACTAGAAGAAATATGATCACGGGCCCAATCAGAGCAGTTATCAGATTATTTATCCAAGGGGATATTGAAAATAACTCCCCGTTGTTTTTTGATGGATATTTTGAGCTAACTCTTTTAGTATGTTTATTTGATTTTGTCTCTGATGGCTGTTATCTGATAGGTTAAAACAGCACATGTTTTTTACTTTTTTATATCCTTGATGGTGAAACAATAGTAAATAATGTATGGCAGCCCGATTATCTAATAGAGCTTGTCTATGTTTTTTTTTTTTTGTTCTGCATTGAGTAGGGCGATGGCCATTGAAGTGGCATTAAGAGCTTTGGCCACATTATAACCCAATTTTTTATATGTTTTTCTGCTATTTTACCAAAGTATAGGTTTTTAACAACACTGACTATTATAGCATAGGCTTTTGTATCAGACAGGAAAGTGACTTTATGATTATAGTCAGGAGGAAGAGGAATGTTAGAAACTTTTTTCCTCTTGCGGGGTGATGATGTTTTTGAATGGTGTAGCATCAAATCATCTTGAGACTGAAGAATTATAGTCAGCCTGCTTAAACAACAGGAGACTCTATCCAGATAAGCTGAGATATAGTTAAAAGTATGTTCATTGTATGTGAAAAACCATCCAGTGGGTAATCAGATATTATCAGTCATATATGTATATTTTATAAGACTAGAACAATTTAGAAACCCTGACAATCGATGACAACTTTTTTTAGTACAGTTTATAAATTGTATACAAGTTTTATTGAAAGTAACTATAGTCTTTGGGGTAATAAAATGCAGGGCACCAGGTGGTACATCACGTGAGATAGGTCCCCAATTAGCCAAGTCATAATATAGGGCAGGTTTAGAAATGTGCTTTTTTAAAAAAAAAATTATTTATTGATTGATTTGTGTGTGTGTGTGTGTGTGTGTGTGTGTGGCCAGCTCAGCCCACCAGGGGGCAGGGCTGGCTGGCATGTGGTGCTGGGGGATTGAACCGCGGTCC